TCGTTAGTGAAACAAACTCTGCACTAACTAGGCCGTATGAGCAGTTTATCAAACAGCTGTTGAACAAGCAGAACACAAACTTGCAGAAAAGTGATGTCTTCACTGCTTTGCCTGTGTTCCACTCGCTGAAGTCCTTGTTTTACTTCAGAACCAAGAGTATGTTCACAAACCATGCTTGAAATGCTAGTAGCTGTGACGTGCTGATGCTGACATTTAAACATTTACGGCGATAGCCCTGCGAGCACTCGCCGCCTACCCGTTGTTCCTGGATCTTAACTTTAGTAACTCCTCCTAAGGTGGATGATATTTAGCTCCTAGAACTAAGTGGGCGAAGGGCAGTGGAAACATAAGCAGAAACTGGGTATATGGACATGTTCCCTATAAATGGCCCAAGGAGGCATGCAGGTTCTAGCCCAGACCCTCCTTGCTGTGAGGCAGCAGTGCTAGCCACTGCACTCTGCACTGAGCTACTGCCCCTGTGTATTCATTTGATTTGTACTGAATTACAGAAGGGCACAAGTGATAATTGGTCAGTGAAGTTGAAATGAAAAATCTTTTTGCTCTTCTTTTTAATCCAAGCTAGGTTGTCGGTTATATGAGAATTTGTAAATGTATCAAGTTTTATTTAAATCATTTTTGCTGTAGTTTTTTCTGTATGGGAAGTCAACAAGTCTTCCAGTCAATTTTCTAGGGAAAGGTGGTCTTCTGGGAGGGTGATTGAGGGCATGAGACTCTGATCTCCACGGCAGCACTGATAAATCAGTGTGTGTGTAACAGTGACAGACAGGTGAATAATGTGTTTTGACTAGCACCGTTGTGCGTTTGGCCTCTGTCATACAGCCCCCGCCACATGCTGACACACAATCGCTGCTCTTTTCATTTAGAAAAACATGCCTCATATTTTCATAAGGCTGCTGTGCGTTCCTGTCGAACCCTGACCAGTTTGTTCTGGTGCACTTATCTCCAATAATAATAGCCTCAGCTGACGGCCCATGTGCAAACGGCATTCTTTCATCCTCACATGACAGCTGTGTCATTTGCCTGTCTGTCTTTCTCGTTCTTCTCTTTCTCTCGCTCTTCTGGTTTCATCTCTCTGCTGTGGTCTCACACCCTTTTTTAATTTTTATTTTTTAAGCCTGCTCTCGCCTCCTTCTCTGACCCCAGTAACTTTCCGTCTGTCCTGAATCTCTCGCTCTTTAAAGTCCTGCTTAGTTTCTACTCGGCACTTCCGCCCATGTGCCCAGTGGCATGTGCCATATCTGACGTCACAGCTGCTGGTGCGTGGTGTGTATTGATGTTGTTTTGGTTGGTTGCGACCCTCCCAGTTTTGGTAACTTTGCCTGTGCCAAGTAGGAATTGGACGAACTTTGTAGATGACTTGTTCTATTGCTATTCCAACAGTGTCGATTGTGTTTTTCTCAGCAGCGATACTCGTTTAGGAGAAGTCTGCAGCCAATCAAGTGCGAGTATAAATGGTTTTGTCTGGCAACATCACAGTTTGCACGTGCACTGAGCATAACCACGCCATTATTGTCTTCTGCTTCTTTATATTAGTCTGGTTTTCTTCGGGCTTGCCTACATAATCTCGCTAATGTTTTATAATTCACTCTCTACCTTTCTTTTTCTTTACCTATGTGCCTTTCAGTTTGCCTCTAACTCCTTCTCTCCATCTACCACTTCTAATCTTCTCTCCCCTCCTTCTCTGAAAATGCTGGCTGACTTATTGGATGTGACCCTACCACTGGAAATCAGATGGTCTGTACAGTAGATTTCACTTTTCAACTAAAGCACATGGATTTACCAGATATAGAACCTTAAGGAGAAAAGCTTTGCAGCATGTGTGTATGTTAGAGGTCCTCATGGGTCCGCTCACTTGTACTGAGACCCGACTCAGGGCCTGAATCAGGTTAGGTCCAAATTCTGCTGATTCAAATTGGCTTGGGTCAAATCTGGTATCTGAATGGACAACCAACCGGTTGCCTTCAAGATGAATGCTGTTAAATGAATTAGATTCAGATGTCAAACAGGTTACAACATTGTCTTTGTTCTCTTTATCACCAGTTGGTTTATTTATGTAAACTTGTTTTTTATATATTATTTTAGTTATTATGACTTTACATTCATTTTTAGGATAATATTAATACAATTCTTCTTCTTCTTATTGTAATTGTTGTTGCTTTCCACCACAGCTGCTTGTTAATTGTCAAATTCAAGTACATCATGCAGCTGTTGGTGTTTGGGTCGACTGCATGTTAGTGTTTGAGATCACGTCAACGTGTTACGGTCATGTCGTTTTGTTTTTTGATTTTTCTTTTCCCCCTCCAAAAGATTTTATGTAGATCAGGTTCAGGTAGGTGTTCCACAGGCTTGTGTAGGCCTCACACTATAATATTTCTTTGAAGTGAACTCTTACAAACCCACAAGATAATCTGCAGGGAGGTGCAACAAGAGACGTTAATGTGGTGTGTATGTCTTTTGCCTGGGCCATTGGGGCTTTGCCAGCTACCTTGTGACATCTATCACATGATAGCTGTTTTTTTTTTTTTTTTTGTCAACTCAGAGGACTTTATTTTAGAAAGATCAACAGAAGGAACAAGCAAAGCACAGAGGGACTAAGAGAATGAGGAATAGAGAAACGAGGACAGGACAGAGCTGGGATGGGTGCAAAAGAGTTCAGAATGAAGAAAGGGAGGGGTGAAGATTGGCCAAGAAAACAAATGTAGAGAGAGCCAGAGAAGGAGATTAATCTGCTAAAGAAAAGAAATCAATGTATTAAAGGAGAGAGAGAAAGCTGCAGGAATAATAGATGGGTGGAGGGAGGGAGGGAGGGAGGGAGGGCGTGAGTACAGTGCTGCTTGCTCACGAGTTCCCAAAAGAGTCATATGACTGGCAGTCACATGCTGCTGGCCTCTGTGTACATACTTCATACTGTGCTCCACCCATGTACACACTGAAACACAGGCGTTCTCAGAATCAGAGTAGATTCATTACCATAACTACGTGTGTTTGTGTTCCAAAATATTAATGAGAGAGTAGAAAATGTGTACAGCACGTTGCGCACATCTCCAGTGTTTACAGATGTACTTTATAAGAGCAGAATGAAGCAAACACGGTGATCTGTCTTCGTCTGTTTTGCTTGGTCTCTCTCGTTTTCTCCTTTCTCTCTTCCTCTCTCTTACATTGATAGCAACAGTGGTTTCAAGTGAGCCATTACCAGAGCCTTGCTAAAAAGCACGCACACACACACACACACACACACACACACACACACACACACACACACACACACCCTCCCCCTTCTGTTCCCACCCTACCAAATGCATTCCTCTTGAATAGGCTGCCAAGTTAAGAAGGCACATGACACAGGCTAATCGCGCTCACATTGCTTTTAGTTTGCTGTGTACACAAGTACATCTGCATTAGGTTTCTGTGCCTGTTGATGTGAACAATTCAGCTTATGTTTTTGCATCAAGAAATTAGTTTCATAAGGAATGGATGAAATTAGACAGAAACTGTGACTTTTTATAGGGGAAGTATTATGTTTATACTAGCAGAGACGTCCATAGCTGAAACCCCTTTAACATCTTATCTGTTCCCACATATCTACAAGCTAAAATCTGCCTGGTCAAACTATATGAATTGTGCGTTTAAATGAATTAAGTGCATTGTGATTTTCGGATGCAACTTGAATCGTGTGCAGAGTAAAATGACCTTGTGTTCAGGGCCTTTAGCCTACAGTTTTCTGTTTTTGCTGCCCTCCCCACAGACCACTGAAGGCCAGGTGAAGATGTTCGGGAAATGCTGCCAGCTCCGTTCTACAGGTGGGAGCAGCAGTTCCCTGGACAGCTCCTCCTCTTGCGCCTCAGAAACCAAGGAAACCAAGGAGCAGGGTCTTCGTTTCCAGGTAACACTTATGCATGCAAAATTGGTCTGCAGTTCTATGTATACCCATACATCCACATAAGGAGATAAACATATACATGCAAAGCTCAAGCATTAACCTTGTGAAGGCTTTTGCCCTTTAACGGTAACACCATTAAAAGTTTGTTCTCCTTCTCTCTTCTCCAGGGTTTGAGGGGTTCGTCTGATGTGGTAATGTTGGGGGAAATGATGTTTGGCTCTGTGGCCATGAGCTACAAAGGCTCCACATTAAAAATCCACCAAATCAGGTAAGAACAACAGGGATGCATGAGTGTCCTATGTTCTCTCAGCTGACAAAAACATCCTTAATATGGAGGTATAGCATCTGTCATGGAGTTTTTCTGATTTGCTTAGATAATTTGCTTGGTTATTAGTATTGGATGATGGGAACAATAAAAGTTTGGACAAGTGAAGGAGAGACGAGAGAAAGTGAAGAAAAAACGGGAAGTTGTGAATTGATGAGGTAGAAGAAGAGACGTGTTTGACTGTGAAAGACACACGCACATGAACCGAGCACAGATGCCAATGACCTTTGTCCTTATACTATCGTCATATCAGATCACCACCTCAGCTGATGCTGAGTAAGGTCTTCACAGCCAGGACGGGAGGCAGTGCGTACGGCAGTCTCAACACGTAAGCACACGCTTACACACGTCTCACTGATTCCTCCTGCAGCTTCTCCCATAAACTAGTCCAGATACACTCTCATCTCATCTTTCTCTCCTCCTCCCCCTCCCTATCTGTCTCAGTTATGGTCCTCTAGTCCTGCCAACCAGGCATACAGTTTCTGCATCTTTCTCTGGTTCTTTAGTCTGTTTTCTGCCCCTCTCTATTTAGTTGAACACTCTCCCTCTGCAGGCTCCTACATTATGTAGGTAATTGAATTCAGCTTTGAGAGTAAGTAAACAAAAAGCATACTTTCATCCTGTAGGTTACAGGACAGCCTGGAGTTCATTGGACAGGATAACAACACCCTGAGGCCTGATCAAAACACTGGGCCCCACAGTCTTCTCGGGAACATAGGTAACCAAAGAAACCCAGTGCCACACCAAACCCTGTATAGTCACCACTGTCATCCTCCTGTTTTCTTTCAGTTCATTTGTGAATTGTAAGTAGAAAGTGGGTGAAATGTTTTTCTTTTTGATCACAGTTAGACACTAAGTGTAGGTACTTAGGTACTGGATTATTGCAAAGATGATTTTTAGCAGTATTTTCACATAATTTACTGGAAAATCTATTTGGTTTTTAATGTCACCTCTGTGTCAGTGTTCACCTGTCCCTCATAACAAAAATAACATAGCAGTACTTGACTGTATAACATGTTAGTACAACTGGCATTTTGTCATTTATTACACAGTTGAAGTTGGTAGAACTGCAAGGAAGCAGCAGAATTTGTTTCTCTTTCAGTCCCTTTAACATTCCTGTTTGAATATAAACCAGATTGGAGAGACTCTGCCAACAGCTCTGTTTTGCTGCCACCCTACATTAACCTCAAGAACAGTTGGAGAACTTTTAAATTGACCTTGCAAGCACAAGTTGTCTGACCAAATTCACAGAATCGGTATCTCTGCTGTTCATGACGTTGATGATGATGTAAGTCTGGCATCAGTTTAGACGATGAAATGCTTCTATTAGACAGAAGAATATAAAGAACTGTTGGCAAATTCTGTCCTTTTCTGTATTTTCTCTGTCATGATGGTCATAATTGTGTTCCGGATTGAAAAGCTCCTGAAATCTAAGTTGTTTACCACACAATGGCCGGATGACAGGAGGTTGCCAGCTTTCCTCCTCGTTCATTAACTAACCATGGTTCATAATTTTTTGTCCTTTCCCCTTTCCATTCCTTTTTATTCATTTGTGCTGCGCAGGATTTTCTCAGCTCTGCAGCCCTCGTCGGGCCTTCTCTGAACAAGGCCCTCTGCGCCTCATCAAGAGCGCATCTTTCTTTTCAGGTTGGCGCTTAAAAACTGGCCATGACTGATATGAGCCAGTTGCATGCGTGTGTGTAGGCTGTAGGTACAGTAGTAGTGGTTGTAGAGGCCTTGACTCTCAGCGACTGCATGCCTGTGCTGTGATTCTTTTAGTGGTTAGTAGTTGTGAGCTTGCAATACTGCAGCACGTCTGCAAAGAACCTGGGTCAGATAGTAGCTGCAGAAATATTGATCATGTGGTTACATCAAACATCTTTGACATGTTCTTCAAAAATAGGATTAAGTTCTCCCTTAAATCTGTGGATTCAAATCCATTTGACACTGAATAACTGTGAAAATGCATTTCTCAAATGAGCTGCATGTGACTTTGGTTTAAAAATGCTGCTCAGCTAAAATTATCAGTGAACCTAAAGAAGGCAAACAAACACCTACTAAATCACACAGGGAATGCATATGCCTTCTGAAACCTCCCTTTCCTTTATTTTGTCTTAACAAATCATAAAATATATTTACCAGTACCTTCTGACCCAGGGCCGGCAGCTGCATTACGCTTATAGAAATGGTGTGCATGGGCGCTCACTGGTGTTGGGGGCTGTAGCTAAAGTTTTAGTAGTTCCCTCTCTTCTTTATCTTTGTGTTCTTCACTCACAGCGTGCTTACTAACTTGTCTTTGACAGTGTCTGTGATACGTGGGCAATGATTTTAGGCTTATGTGCATTTTAACCTGACCGACATCCCCAGTACTCTGCCGACATAATATTTAGTGGACTATAGTACATTTTATGTCCCCTCGTAAACCTTTAATGATCCAGTAACAAACTCGTACACATAAGAGTCTCACTCACACCCATGTAGTTAGTTACACAGCCAGCTTCAGAGCTGGGTGCTACTGAGCAGCTCATGGTGACGTGCCTTGTTCAAGGCACCCTGGCAGTAGTTACTGAAGGAAAACAAAACGTTAGCTACTCTTCTGCTTTCTTTTCTCAGCCAGTATTTAAATGAGTGATATTTCAGGCACAATCAAACTTCCTGAAATGTGCATAGTAAGGGAGCCAAACAGGGGAACCTTCCTTCATTGATCTCTGCCATTGAAATATGCTTAAAATAGAGCTACTTGTTCCTTACAGCACAGGGCCTGGTGCTATCAGCATTTGTTTTCATACAGATAGTAGAACACTCCTGCATATCTTCTGCAGGCTGTATTTGTTAAAGCCTTGCCCATGTATTATCGCTGTAAAGAAACTGAGCGAATTCTCTTCTGATAGTGTTTTTGGTGTGACATTTGCGTGCGCATACTCACAAAACCACTGAGATGCTTTTTGCCGAAAAGCTCACGTTGACTTGCTCGTTAATCATCTCAACCAGAGCTACACTTTCGATTGCACCTTCAAATGCTGCATTTGTTGTTTTCATGCATTTGTTGTAAGATGCACCAGCTTTTTCTTATTTCACCCCAAAGTGTGTGGACACCTGAGAGGAAGCGGACAGGCTCAGGGGTTTCCATACTGTGGTATCTCTTGTAGAAAGTTGTACCAAAGCTATAGCTGGAGATGGTGACAGTGAGTGGGTCAGTGAACAAGCACCTATTACAGCCATCAGTATGGGTTGCCTTATTTGTTGTGACACTTCCTGTTTTGGTGTTGCAAAACAAAGGGTGCACTAACAGTGTGAGAATCAGACAGAAACACCACACAGTATGTAGGAGTGGTGTAGGAGTTGTGTGGTTTATAGTTTAATGGTGACAGTTGCCTTGAATAAGCCACCAAACCTTGTTTATTCTGTTTTCTATATTTTACTGCTACATTAAACAGCCATTTAAAACACTTTCAGCCATATCTCTACTCTATGTATTTTGGTCAAGCAGCAGCAAGAGAAACCCGATAGTTTTCCTTCTAAATGCAAGTGCCACATTTATTGCTTTTTTGGGGACAAAATGGAATTGGTTTTGTTGTTGCCTAGCTTCACATGGATGCTGCTGATGTGAAGCAGCCACAATCATTAGTCCCTGTGTTTGCTGTGAAGTAGAAGAGTACTTTAAGGCCCTTACATGGTGGTGACAAGAGCATCTTCAGCATGCCTGGTGCTCCATTTGGCTGATCACGTTGGTCTGTTTCTCACAGGTTGTTTTTTTTTTCTCCATCCCTCTCACTTCCTTCTTTGTATTGTTTGCTTCACTTCTTTCTCTTTATCTTAAACACATCTTCTCTTGATTTCCTCTTCTCTCTCTTCATGTCATCCATCTGTCTTTGGCCCCTTTCTCTTCTCTCTGCCCCACATCTCCACCTTCCTTCTTTCTCCCTCTAGGCCACAGTCACCCCATGGACATGCCTGGCCGAGGGATGTATGACGAGAGGGACAGCGGCATCGCCAGATCAGGTAGGTTAATAACACTGCAAGCTAAAGCCTGGATTGGCCTACACTCAGTGCAGCTTTCAGTCTTACAGCTGAACTTTGAATGGGGTTCACATTTATTTTTGTCCAGACCTAGGAGGTGTAAGTCAGGAAGGTATCAGGCCATTACACTTCAGAAAGGTCGTCATCTTCTTTTCACTTCAAACACACTGTAGGTTCACATAAAGGGTTTTGATACCTGGTTCTCATCGTCTGGACAGGCCAAAATGTGAGTGGTGCAGCTAATGAGTTTATTTATTTCAAGCACTTCCTGTGTCAGTCTTGTTGACCTGCTTTAACCTCACTGTTCAGTTGTATAAACAGTTATACAAGCACCGGTCACTTGAACAGGTTGTGCTTATGCTGTGACATCACTACTGTGCTGCGTACACACATGCATACCATTTTTCATTCATTTAAAATCATCCTGTACTGTCTGTACAGCTGATTGGAAAGAGATACTGAGAAAGGTGAGACACGGAGTGTTAGAATCAAAGCCAGACTTCCCTCCGCTGCCAGTCGTTCAGTTCTTTGGACCTAAGACCAGAACGAAAGAAGGTGATGCAGGAGTTGAAGACAGTGTGGAGGTGTTAACACGGCCCTAAGGATCAGAAAACACTGTGCAAGGGAAACCGACCCCCACCCCCCCTCTTCTCTTCCTACTAGCCCCCCTCTACGAGCACCACCATGCCCCCCTGGCATGGCTTGTATGAGGGGAGCGGTGGTTTCTGCTCAAACCCGGATCACATGCAGAGAATAAATATAGCAGCTCTCAAAACCTGCTACTAGAAAATGAGCTTCTAATTCAAGCCTCATCCTCTCATCTGCACATTCTCCACCTCCCCTCTGCGTTTGGACTGGAGAGCTCTTTATCTTACTGACAGACATGTACACACTACATGTCCCTCTGTAACACAATGTCCTCACACCTACCTACTCTGTTCTGTCTTCAACTCACTAGCACAGTTTTCTCTTCTCATATACATACTTGTTCACACACCTCACCAAGCTGTCTGTCTTTCAGGGCTTGTGTGTATGTTTGTGTGTAGATTGCCATTATCCCAGCAGCCTGGTGTAAAGCCAGTTAGTCTGACAACTGCGACATGACTTTCAGGATGATATTAGATCTCAGATTAAAGCAGTTCAGTAACTGGGGTCTGCATTTGGTGTGTTTGGATGTGGTTTTGTGTGTTGTATTAGTTTGCCCTTTTTTAGGTTCTTTATTTGTTTCACTAAGAACGGTTATTGTCCTCTAGATCTCTGTCGAGCTATGTGTGTTAGTGTGTGTGTCGTTCAGAATGAGTAATCCTACATGCTTGTTCTCTGACTCACTCTTGTCCTATTCTCTTGTCACCTACGTTCCCTCCTTCTGTCCCTGCTTCTTTCTATTCTTCTCCTCCTCCTCTTGGTTTCCTTAACTGTTCTCTATTTTCTCTCTTCTTCTTCTCACCCCCCTTTAGCTTCTCTGAGCAGCCTGTTGATCACTCCCTTCCCATCTCCGGGCTCCTCTCTCACCAGCAGCTGTGCATCCAGCTACCAGCGCCGATGGCTCCGCAGCCAAACCACAAGTCTAGAGAATGGCGTGTTCCCTCGATGGTGAGACACACGTACACGTGCACACATACACTGGATCCAAATAGAAAGAAATGACAGAAAGGCAAAGTGTAAAACAAAACAAACTTGCATGTTGTTGACTAAACAGATAAGTTGTTCTTTGGCTGACGCACAAACACACTAGGGCTTATTTTCATTGTTAGTTATTTTCTTGATTAATTAATCAGTTAGTCAAAAAATGTTACAAAATGGTACCCAAAAAAATGCATGTCACACTTGGCTTAAGCCCACATGTGTTAATTTGTCTGGCCAGACAAAATGAAGATATTTAATTTAAAGATTTAAACAGGCACAGCGCAGAAAAGCAAAAACAATTCAAATGAATTTTTGGTGTTTGTCTTGAAAAATTACTTAAGTTATTAGGTTATCAAAAATTTAATTAAGGAGCTAGTTTATTCATTTTCAATTGGCTTATCAATTTTTGTTTCATCTCTAAAACACACACACATTAGGAGTAGTTAAAATGATACTTGGGAGAGAGAGGTCAATAGTTTAAGATCTTCCTCACAGCTTCCCACACACTCACTCTCTCCCAGTCACCACTGCTTCTCCGCTGTTTTTCCCTGGTCCGGCCTCTTTTGGGCTTTTGTAAAGTTTGTCCTACTAGGACTTCCTCACAATCCAGCAGACAGCTGGGGGAGTGATACGCACTGATGCTATGTGCTAATAATTGCTCACAAACAAATACACACAGTGCTGTGACTAGACAGGATGCTGTGTCACAGTAAACGCAGCTGTCAGCCCCGGAGTGCTCTAATCTTTCAGGCACTCCTGTTCAGGAGCACCAGAGCATCTTGTTTATAGCTGCAAGAACAACAACAATATAGGATCAAAAGTCTCTTCACTGGTTTTCTTTGCTCAATAGATTTACTTGTGTGTTTTCTTTCTCCGTTGCTGAAACATGTAAAATGTTAGTTGGCTGTAGAATATTTACTAAAAAGTACAAGGAAGACGTGAATAGTATACTAACAAGCTGTTATGTGAGATATAGCTTTATTCACCCCCCCTACCCCTTCCCTGTGTACCCTATCTGATCAGGTCGGCAGAGGAGAGCTTCAACATGTCTGACGAAAGCGGAGGCCCGAGCCTCGGTGTGGCTCGGAAGAAGAAGATCGCTATCGGTGTCATCTTCGTGTTGTCACCCAACCCGGAGGAGAGCGACCGCTTCCAGGATTTCTTTTTCTCCCACTTCCCTCTCTTTGAAAGCCACATGAATAAACTCAAGAGCGCCATCGAGCAGGTGAATTAATATAGACCAAATATATGATGTGCTTGATTTCCCTTTTGTGTTTCTTTCACAACCTCAGTGTTTTATTTACTTTAACATCAGTGTTTTGATGTGGTGATCTCCTCCCTGTTTGACACTGTGAGCTTGTCAGTGAAATCCAGCAAGACATGAATAGAACGCAAAAAAACCCTTACACCCGTTACTGCTGCAATGAGCAGAGTTGCTGTCAGGTTGATAGGTCAGTGGCCATACCTTGTATATCTCTAGATCTGTTTACTGGTGTCTGCTGTTAGCGCTGTCAGAGCTCCGGGTGACTGCCAGTTTTACCAGCTTCCCTTCTGGCCCCAACTTCTCCTTCATAGACTTCTTGTTCCACCTTTCCTAGAGCATTTTCAGCCTCAGTGCCAAATATCTCAAAGCATGTGTGTGTTGTTTCACTCTCCAGGCTATGAAGATGAGTCGGCGGTCAGTTGATGCCAGCCAGAGGGCCTTGGCTTACAGTCGAATGGTGGACGGACTCAACGAGTTCAGGTTGGGCAAGAACTCGCATTGATAAAGATTATATTCTTACACACTTCATTTTTCTCAAGACGAAACTTGTAAATATGACTGATGCTATTGTTGAAAGCACCATACAACATTGTAGTGTTTTTGTTTTTTAACATGGGCAAGTCACATTCTTTATAAACCCTGTTTGCCTACAGTGTAGGAAAAACTAGAATGATGTGCATAGCAAGGTCTCCTCTGGAGAGACTTTGGAAGGATGTGGCATTTAAAATTTGTTTCCAGGAAGCTGACATGACACCGACAGGACATAACAGCTATTTGAGTTATAGGTCTGTGCACTATGAAATCTGACACAAGGGCGTGTTCTGTGCCAGGCTTTACTGCACATAGGAAAACTGGATCACAGGATTTTGTTTGCTGTTCAGTGATAGTGTCATCACGAGAGGTGGCAGGAAAGACAGGTGTGACAGAAAAAAGAGGTAAAGGGCCTAAAAACTTTGCTCTGCCTAGAAGGCAGGTAGGTGCTACACTGGGGAAAGAAAATAAGCATGACATTTTCGCACCCTATAGAGGAAAAACACAGCTTCCTGTCATATCTTCTCAATTCATTTTGTTATTTCTATTACTAATGTGTTTTTCTTGTTCCAAAGTAGTGCTCATCAGAATCGCAGCATATCTTTATATCAGTATCTTGCAGTGAAACAGCTTTTCACATGACTGGTTTCCTGTTTTACGCCCTAAAGGTTCCTCCATATCTAAACTACTTTTCATCCTAAGCATGTTCTTGTAGAATGATAGCTCCATATATGAGTAGTGAGGTCTTAATGCTCCTTGAAGTAGGTCATCAAGTGCCCATATTTATCCTGTGATACTCATACAATGGTGCTAACAGTTGAGTAACTTTAATAACCTGAGAAGTATTTGACACATGCTTTTCATTCTAAGCATAAAAGTGTATCAAGCTGTGTTTTTGCTGGTAGCAGCTGTGGTTTACCAGTGGCTGTGGCCTGCATGTCGCATCTGTCAAGGTGATTTACAAGACAACGTCTCTGACATTTGCTATCTCTTAAGTTGACTAGGTGGTGGTCACACTGTGCTGATGTATCACTGTCATAAACGTATCCTAAAACAAAGCCTTGTTCAAATGACTAAGATAAACAACTGAAGCAAATACTTTTTGCTGATGAAGTGATAACGGAGCATGAGAAAGCCTAGAAAAGGCTATGTGATATCTGTCAGTGAGGGTTTAATGTCTGTTCTATGAGGTGAATTCATGAGACCTGAAAATAACAGAGGTGAAGTGGGGGGGACTGTGTTATTCTGCTCTAGTTACTGATGCAGTGAGCTGAGGTGTCACAGCAGTCATTAATAAATAAATACTGAGGATAGTGTGATGCTAACAGACTCTGTCCCTCCTCATGTGTTCCTGTTTTTATTTCTTTAAGTAATTATGGCAGATGGATTAGTAATGTTGAAATATGTTGATAAAAGAAAGGAGAAACACTTTGGACCATGACTGTCTTGAGCCAACCCTATGGTTTATGTTGCATTGTAAATGAAATGCATTCTGGGAGTTTTTGCTTTGGGGCTTTGGTTGCACTGCACCACAACTGCCATGTAAAGAGGATGCTTTTTAGAAAAAAACGGATCCAATGATGTTGCCTTTTTGTGATGGCATGAAATATGAAATGATCTATCTGTGCAGATGAAGTTCCAAAATTGTGTGTGTACATGTGTCTGAGTGAGACGTGTTTATTAGTATGATGCTTTGTTTTGTACTCACAAGCTGTATGTACGTGCATACATGTCCTTCTCCACCACTAGTTTCACTTGCCATAAGCACATTGGCAGGTAGCTCCCAGTCTGAAGTCCACCCATTGCTGCAGTCATATGCCTGTTGGCAGCCGGCCACAGCAACTCAAACCTCCTGAGTGGCAACTCTATCTACCTCAGACACTGGCCACGAGTACCAGAATAGTAAATAATATGTGTGTGCCAGCAGGGGGAATGCTGTTGCCTGGGACAAATAAAATATCTATAAAATCTAACCTTCACACAGCAGCTAAATATAAGTAGCCACCTTTCCCATTATGGTTTTGACTTGGTGAAGAAATGCCTTTGCTTAATGCTGAAGCTGCCTTGACGTAGTTTGACAGCGAGCAGGCGCACATACCCATGCATGCTGGTAAAGATAAGCTGTGCACTTAGTGGAGGCATGTGTACATGAAAGTCACACCATCCTAAATGAGGGTTATATTAGGGTTTTAGTTAGATTACAAGCGGGAGTACCAACCATAGCAACATTGTTTTTATGGTGTATAATAACGGTGTGTACTGACACATTTATTTGAACTCAAAGTGCACTGTTTGTTTGATCTGTTAATATGAAGGAATGCTAAAAAAGCCTTTTTTAAATCCCAAAGTGAGACAAGTGATCAGTAATAAGAACTTTCCATATGTACAACTCCTAAGTTGGCTTATGAAAACAACACCTTGTAAAGACAAAACTCATAGATCAGGTCAGACATGTTTGAATCGATTCTCTCCATCATGAGGTAATTTAAATCTGGCCCGTCAGCCTGACACATGAGTTTAATTTTACAACACAGGCCACCTCTTTAAAGTTCACCTGAACAGCTGCTGTAGAGAGGCTGAGACTAGATCTCCCACTCATCCAGCGCTGGCCCGGCCTCAGACCTCCTCCCATTAGGGGGCTTTCAGTGGATGTGTGTACTGCAGACACAACAGGGTCAAGTGGGGCTTCAAAAGGCCATGGATAAGTCACCACACTGGTAACACAGGAGTGAATACAACACTATTAGGTCATTTGATACAGCCGCCCAAGCTGACACTGCTGCTCTGCTGACAGTGTTATGTAAAGAGGCTTATGAAGAGTTGAGGGACATGTTTTGTGTGTCCTGAATTACAAGTAGCATAAAGTCTGTTGTGGTTTACCATGCTATATCTGCTCAGTACTCTGTTTATTAATAATTAATTAGTGATTAATTCTTGTCAGGAATTTCATCAGCCAAGCTCAGATGATCTAATGCAGTGATTGCATATTGCAAAATTTACTATAGTCTTCAACAAGATTCTTACACACTTAACGCACTTGCAAAGGCTTGTTCTTGTCGAATTATTCTTTTCATGGATGGAGAAGGTTCGACAGTTTCGTAAGCCACAAGCCATTTAATTGAAAGTTAGATTTTTCTAAATCATAAAGCACATTTAGAGCTCTGGTATTACCATAGTGAACCACTGCTGTCACCAAGTTGATAAATTTTAAAAACATGTAAACAAAGCATGATCACGACTGTAGTGAAGGGGTCACTTTCACTGTGTGGCACCTGTGCTTTCCCTCAGCACGCAGGGTGTCTGCATACCCTGTCAGTGGGTTTTATTTAATAGGTCAAAGAGGCTGTGAGTTTACTGCAGAGTTAATCATGTTTACAGCCTGAGAATTCCTGCAGTTTCAAGTAAGACTAAGTAAAGCTTGGAGCTTTTATTCTTTATCAGCACGACCTGCAGAGTCTTGTGACAGATCACTGGAGTGGCAGGTGAGCCTGACTGTTGTATTAGCTAGGTTTGCTGAAGGTTACAAGGAAGCAGTTGCAAGGAATAAAAGGAATGAAATGCGCCATTCTCTAATAGTCTTTATAGACTCTATTGGTTATCTCTGCAACTTTTGCATGTAGATTCAAACCCAGAATTTAGCAGCTGTAGTCCATATTTCAGCCTTGACTAAAAACCCCTGATTCTCTACATTCCTCAAGCTGCAGAGATTCTCTTCTGCCCGTGTCAAAGCTTGGCCTCTGGCCGAGACATGCTCACCTACACACCCCACGTTCTGTGGAAACTCCACTCCCTAATGCACAAATGCCTCCACTCAGCCACAGACAGAGTTCTACACACACACTCTGTACTGAGAAAGAGACGTGTGTGTGCGCGCAAGTTAGTCGAACTGTTACAAACACACACACAGCCAGGGTCTCCCATGGCTTCAGTGCAGACAGTGAAGCTCTGTGAACTGAGATCTCTTTTGTTTACCCCAAGAGACAATAATATGTCTGTTCTTTGTCTCTGTCCCCCACCCTCTTTCATCCCTCCCTCTCTCGCCGTTCCTCATCTCCAGGATGACCATCTGCGACTTATACACCATGCCCCGGGTGGCTGAGCCTGTCTGGTTGACTATGATGTCTGGCGCATCAGAGAAGAATCAGTTCTGCGGTCAATTCATGAGGGAACTCTCCCTGCTGATGGAGCAGGCCTCCAAGAACCAGTTGAGTGTCTGCTTGTATTCACACCTGCTCCACCACCAGTCACCGACTTTCTAAAAGTGTCACATCAGTTAAAGGACTTGTATGCCACACTGGGATCAAGGGAACTGTATCAAAATGTTGCATAAGATCTTTTCCAGGCTTGCACTTCCTGGACAAGCTTAACAACAGAGAAACAAATTCACACACTATTCACTCCCTCCCCCACATACACACATTCTGTGGACTGTCTTTCCCTTTCTTACATAAACACATTTCACACAGTGAATGTTTCACCCACTTTGCATTTATTTGTCTGCCTCAGAGCTGTGAATGAGAACATCCCCGCCAGTCTCTAATTGCTTATTGTTTGGCGTTACGAAGACATGTCAAAGTGCTGCTGATTGTTTGTATGTGAATTGGTAGCAGGGCCTTTTATTGAACATGGCACCCATATTCAGTACCGTTGATTTGAGTAGTATTCAGCCAAATGAACTGAATTATGACATTAAAAGACACCAGAAACAATTTTAAATATGCGAGTTTCTAATCTCGATCACGCATTGACATTGATTCCTAAATAAAAGGCATGTAAAACTTGTCAGTATTAACTGTGACATTTACTTTTTAATTAGCTGCTTTCATTTGGTTTATGTCCATTGCAGGTTCCCAGAACCAAAAGTGGTGTAAAAAATATTTCATTTATAATAGTTTTTAAACTAGTTTTGTCTGGCCTCAGTTCCTTGCTTTACCATCTGTCACAGAAAAATACAAAAGCTATTTAACATGGGCAACCATAGCCAATGTGGCTTGAGAGTAAAGAGAAGAAGAAGAAGAGTGAGTGGATGTTCAAACATTAGCAACAGAAAATCAGTTATCACGCTTCTGCCTGCACCGTTTTAGAAGAAAATCCAAGGATTGGCGATTTACCATTAGAAATAATTTTTAAACCTTTTGTACATTAATACACGGTCCAGTGTTGATCTCTCCAGACTCTCCATGTTCTCTAAATACCTGTATACTTTGTAAATGTTGACCATGAATGGAAACTGAATCTCCCAGGCAACCACTGGTATGTCTTTATCAACATAATTTCTTAGCGCACGTTTGTACCATGACTGGTTAGCATAACTCCCACGCAACTTCGTCTCTGTGCTGTAGACTCTCGAATGAGGCATCAGGTGTCCCTGGCAACCAGTGGTGTTATGTATCACAGTGTATTTTCTAAGGAATCCCGACAGTGTTCTCATATCTGTTGGCTTTGATGACTGCCGCAGTCACCGTGGTGTTTAGCACATGACTGAACTATTATCACACTGTTGGGTCATGAGACTGGAAGGGAAGTAGAGACTTGTGGTCAGGAAAGGGAAGTGAATCACACTAATATAATGTGTGTGTCACTTATGTGTATCTCTGCATAAGTCTGTATATGTATGTGTTGCAAACGGGATGGTGCTCAGTCCAGCAAGAAAAGGTTTGACCAAAGTTTTACATGTAGTAAGAACTGAACTACTCAAACATGGTCATTTCTGACAGGAAATATATATTTGGACTCTGAGTTTTACTGACCAACACATATCTGATATGACAGATTCCTCCCTGCATTATTGACAGCTGTCCTGACCAATCATCTGGCCTGGGTCCCCACTGTAATGCCCAATGGGCAACCTCCAATCAAGATCTTCCTTGAGAAGCACTCCTCCCAGAGTGTGGACATGCTGGCAAAGATGCACCCATACAACCCCCTCTGGGCACAGCTAGGTAAGACAAAAACAGTCTTCTGCCAAAGCAGTCAAACATAACAGCTGTGTTTGGCCTTCATCATCGTACCAGAAGCATGAATTCATCCATTGTTATCCATGTCGGTGTAATGCAGTTCCTGTAGTTGGGTTAAATCCTCCCTGTGGGAGCATTTCACATTAAAGCAGAGATTTTAGGTCTAGTAAATATGCTGTTTTCAAACTAAGATAATATGGCAGTGTGAAACTGGAAATCAGTTGGATACGTGATTTCTCATCTTTGATGTTAAAGCGTGGGAAGTGAGAAACTCATGTTTTGCAGTAGAGCAAGTTGCATTAGTGGAAATCCATAGAATTTTCTACGTAAGTGGTTTGATTGTATGTAAATAGATTTATGGGTGCATATAGGATGTAATGATATTCTATAAATACACAGAAATATTGAAGACAATGTAATCAACGCTTTCACCTAAAGTGACATGGGAGACTAAGAAAGTGAACTAGTGGTGACACCTAATGTTTACAGCAGAGAACTGCAGATCAGAGCAATGACGTCATGAAGAAAGATCTAAACAGAGCTAAAGAAGAGATTAAAAAAAGAAGAAAGAAATGCACAGATGTTATTGTCTTGAAGAAATATATTGGGTAAATTGAAGATATAATTGTATAGATATGACATCACATTTTTTACCCAGCAGAGATGCAACAAATACAGAATTTATTTCTTTCCCATCACTGTGTGCAGGAGACCTGTACGGGGCCATTGGGTCACCGGTGCGGCTATCAAGGACTGTGGTGGTGGGACGCAGACAGGAGCTGGTCCAGAGACTTCTTTATGTTCTCACCTACTTCATCCGCTGTTCGGAGCTGCTGGAGACCCACATGTTGGACAGTGCTGAGGACGAGGCCATCGTTATGCCCGGCTCCCTCATCACAACCTCGCTAAGGAAAGGAGAGGTGGAGGAGTCGGACTATGTTCTGGTTACTGTCCATAAACCCAGCGGGGACTACTTGTCCCAAGGGGCCCATGGTCCTCAGACTGAGGCAGAGGACAGTAGCTTCCCTTCAGACAACAGCCTCCAGAGCAGCACATACACAGATGCTGAGGTGGAGCATGGAGCTGGGGATACACCCAAGGAGGAAGATGAGGATGAGGAAGATGAGGAGGACAGCAGTGAGAGTCAAGGGTCCAGGAGCAGTGTGCTTCAGACGGGACACAGTCAGGCCTCAGTACCCACCATCAGGACTGCAGAAGCAACAGAACCCAGGAAGTTGTGCAGGGAGTCTAACAGCCCGCTGTGCACGGAGGCCCGGCTGGAGATGGTGCTGCGTGTTGGCTCGGCCCCCCTTGAGGAGCAACCTTCTGTGCTGGACACAGAGGACAAGGGCGACATAAAAGTGATTGTACCATCCATACCCACAACCCCTGCATCAAGTCCATCCTCAGTTCCTGCCACAACAGAGGGCAGGTCCTTTGGAGCAGAGCCTGAGATGGGTGCAGGAAAGGGGAACCAGGCCACCAAAGTGCTGGCTCCCCACCCCAAGGGGATATCTATAGAGAAGAAGCCCCCAGATAAGCACCTGGCTACTGCTGTGCCAGTACCAGTGATACCAGGAAATGCCGTGACAGGGCCCATGGCTTTGACTGTAACAGAAGAGGAGGGGCCAGCAACAAAAGTCACTTTCCTTATTGGAGACTCTATGTCCCCCGAGTCAGACACAGAGAGCCGCAGAAGGAAGGTGGAGGAGGAGATCAAGAAGCACAAGAAACATCTCAAGGATAAACATACGCTTCACCAGCAGCTGCTGCAGCAGCAACAGCATCATCAAGGGCAGCATTACCAGCAGCAACCAGAGCAGCTGCACAGAGGAGCAAATTCAAAGACCAGCAGCACCAGTGCATCAGAGGACCAAACCACACAGACCAAGGCAGCTCCAGCCTTGCAACGGGTGTCCAGTAAGATGTCCCAGTGGGGCCCAAACTGTGTGGATGCTTTTGATGAGTATTTCAGCTTAGAGAACCCTGTAGAGACAAGGACTATAGATGATGTGGCCAAACAACAAGAGGCCAGCACAATGGTCAGTGTGCACAAAGACTTGCCAGACTCCTTGGGAGTCCCCCGGTCTGTTGACGTGGGAGGTCACAGCTTTCATGGAGCAGTCAGGAGTCCAAGTTTGAGTCTCTGTTTGGGTTCAGGAAGTGGAGAGGTTGGGTCCAGTAGGAAGGGAGACATGTTATTGGAACTCCAGAGGAGGTGCAGGTGTGAGTCTACAGACTCCTCTGACACCTGCTGTTGCAGGGGCTGTTCTGCTGAGCAGAACAAGGGTCTTGTGTTGTCAGTCCCTACCCCCCAGGACGGAAGCAGCAACAGCAAAGAGGACCAAAAGTGCAAGGTGGTTCCTGTCAACGACTGGGAGATACCGCGGAACGAGAGCTCTGACAGCGCACTGGGGGATAGTGAGAGTGAGGAGACGGAGGACTGGCAGGAGGAAATGCTAGTGCCCCTCCCTGGGTGAGTAGAGGAGCCATGCACTGATTCACAGACCCTGCTGAGTTTCTCTTCCTGTACAGAGTGAACTGCACTGCTATGAAGTGCAGTTCATTATTTATAGTGGTGATGATTGCAGGGAATAATTTTAATTTATATGTTGCATTTACAGGTCAAAGTTAGTGGAAAACTACTCAAAGCCAAGCATTGCCAATTTTGGCCGCTCTCTGTTTGGAGGCTACTGCCCCACCTATGTGCCAGACTTTGTACTGCACGGGATGCCCAGTGACGAGAAGCTGCGACAGAGACTCATGACAGAATTGACACATGCTGTTCAGGTAAAGATTTATTCCTTAGAGAGATGTACTGTTTTTAATGAAATATAAGATATTGCATTTTAATTATTGTTCGTTTTTACAAGGCATAAAGGTAAAAAAAAAAAAAAAAATCAAACTCACATTCTGTGAGCTGTTTCACATCAAATAGAATTAATATGTAATGCTGTTTTCTGCTTTAATAATTTCTTGAAATATTTTATTCATGGCATAGATATTTGAAAAGCAACAACAGAATATGAGTGAACTGTCAAACCAGTGCCATTAAAAGTCAACCAGCAGTAATATTGAATTACTACACAGCCCTGATTGAGATATGTTTGGTGTGACTGCACTCTTTCATTGTGTAAAAAAAACAAAACTTTTTACTGATGTAAATGACAGAAGTCAATGTTTGCTGGATGCTTCGCCTTCTGTGTAACAATGGTTTCGTTGTTTGACTGCTCTTGTCTTCTGTAGCATCCAGTACTGGATGAGCCTATAGCAGAGGCCGTCTGCATTGTAGCAGACACAGACAAGTGGACAGTGCAGGTGGCCAGCAGTCAGAGACGAGCCACGGACGCCACCAAGCTGGGGAAAGAAGTCTTGGTGTCCAGCCTGGTTTCCAGCTTGTTGCAGTCCACTCACCAGCTCTACAAACTCAACCTCTCACCCAACTTTGTACGTTATGCCCCTGTGTTTATACTGTAAGAGGATATGGAAAACCACTGATATTGTAACTGATTCTTGTGCTTGACTAACCATGTTCCCATCTGTCTCGCTCCTCTTCTCCTTAGTGTATAATGCACCTTGAGGACCGCCTGCAGGAAATCTATTTCAAGAGCAGGATGCTTGCTGAGTATTTGAAGGGGCAGACTAGAGTCCATGTGAGAGAACTGGGCATGGTCTTAGGGTGAGCAGTAAACCAGTATTCTCAACTCACAGAATAGGTCTGCTTCAAAGTGGTGGCTTCAGTATGTAATGAAAAGCACAATGCCTTATGTGTAGAAACTAATGGGAACAAGAGAAACGGTGTGTAAATTCTTATTTTTTCAATTAACACCACGAGTCTGCAGAACAAATATAAAGAAGTCAGGCTCTGTGGAGATGGGGTCAAGATCAGAAGAACTGGAAAAGAGTGTACAGTTAAATACATTTTCCAGGCAGTTCTGTAGTTTGGTTAGAAATGGATCCATTCAAAGTCGCTGTGTAGCTGCATTTGTGCTGTAAAAAAGCCACACATGAACTACAACAGAGGTCAGGTGGTAAAGTCACGTCACAGTGGCCATTGCATTGCCTTGAAAATGTTCAGATTTTTTGATTTTCTGACTCTTTGCTCGACACTTAACTCATCCTGTCCTCTCGGTGTGTCCTTGCAGAATCGAGTCCAGTGACCTTCCCCTGTTAGCTGCAGTGGCCAGCACTCACTCCCCATATGTGGCTCAGATCCTGCTATGAGACAGTAATGATACTGAGATCCCAGTCAGCCAGAGGAGATGCATCAGAACTGTCTGGTGCCACTTTGCCCCTAAAGTGGCCCTCCACACTGCACATCTGGCTCCTGACATGATCTCCTGGGATAAATGGGATCTCTGCCCTGAGCCTGAGTAGTGCACATCTGTATGGACCACGGCCACAGCCAGCACCTCCCCTCGCTACCACTGCTGCTGAATTTGGTGTTATGCTGATGTTGCACCACAGGGAGGAAGCTGGAGACCAGAGTCCCACAGATGGAGCGAGGCTCTGCGGGTGATTGAAATGAACTGCTCCTGATGTTTGAATGTTTCTTTCAAAACAAAACTCTTCTATTTTTGGACACAAAAGCCAAAGACTTCATTCATTTTTCCAGTTGAGAATGAAACTTTAAGATATCTACAGTACATTAACAGTGACTTTTGTTTCTTTAACTGCTTCTTTTCTGTACAATCTTAAACCCGTTCATACGAAGTGACAGGCTGCATTTTTAAACTTTACTTTGAGGTAAACATCATTATCATTGATAAATAACATGTTCAATCTCATAATTATTTTGTTCATCTATGTCTTTGTTTACAAGCCAAATTTCCCAGAGATATCTCAATGAAGAATTTAAAAATTTTTTTTGTCAAATTGTGATGCATACCTGATTTTAAAGCCTTTTTTATTTGGGCTGTGGGAGTAATCGATGCACACTTTGATTTTTAGTTCTACAATCTGGTTTTGAAAAGTGGCTTTGACATTCTTATCATAGGTACAGCACTACCTCAGAACTTTATATGGGCTGTGGATGACACAGTTAGCCCCATAAAAAACCCTGAGGTGTACTTTTTAAGCTATTTTAATCAGGAATGTCAGCGTCAACTGTGTTCAGACTCTATGCTGTGTTCTTTGACAAGGGAAGGCTGTTTAATTCCTTAGGATGGTCATTACAGGAAAACATTTTTACATCCCAGTGTGATTTAAGAAGGGTCTCTTTCTACTGTGGTAACCTAAAACATGCACCATCTACATATATTTTAAAACCAAAATGCTGAAATATTTTCACACTTTTATAGCTTCGCCACCTTTTTACGATGTTTACGGCTTCAGTGTTTGCTGCAGAGAGAGGAGTAGAGGAAGACAGTAGGCCTTGTAATGGATATGTATGTATCAGTTAACACTATTTTCAGAAATGGTTTCTAAGGCAGTTATAGACACAAAAACTAAAAATACAAAACTATAGTAGCACAGACAGATAAATGATTTTGGCTGTTATTCCATGGACGCAGGGCGCAATTTGCTGAGCGTGAAAGGAAGCTTGAGTTGCTTTCTCAGCTTCTCCTGGGCAGCGGGGGCCAATGGGACATAATTATTATTACTTTTTTGTCATGCATTTATAGCATTGGCAATGAATAATAGGATGTGTAAAAATAAAGTTCCCAGTGATTGCGTTGTTTGGAAGGAACACAGTCAAAAGCAGAGAGGAACTCGGAAGTTTTCAGATAAATGCACGTCTGTACAGTACTTTACCACTGTACTGTGTTTTTTAACCCAGCAAACCTTCAAAGGGACAAAGTGTAATTTTTGCCAACAGCCTGCTCGGACAAATTAAAGATTGCAGTTGTGTGTATGTGTGTTTGTAACAGAGCTTGTTGACAGGCTTTATGTTCAGCTGCGAATGGTTTCTGTTGCTAGACAAAGCAGAGCTAACTGGCAGTGTCACCCTGACAAGTGGATAGTGTTTATTTCTTTCTATAAAATGAAATCGCACCCGGAATATGACCCAAGTCTTAATGGAGAAGTGGTATGAAGGCATCATAGATATACTGTATACATGCTTGTTACTGTATTGGAGATGTTCAGCTGTCAGCCTACATTTTGTACAACCCAGCCATTATGTTTAAATGGTATGAGTTTATCTGCTTTCCTCTCTTTGTATATGAATAAGTTATTTAGTTGCTCATGTAATTGTTTGTGCAAACTGTACATACTCAGTTTATTTCCATGTATTTGTACAGAATGTCTTTAAAAAGTCTCAAATAATTTTTTCCCAATTTTATGGGAATGTTGTGCAATAAAGATGCTGATGTTGAGAACGTCTCTGGGAACGTTTGTCAGAATCAAAGGGAAGGAGGAAAAAACATTAAATATCAGCTGTATGAATGTAAAATAATTTCCCCAAACTTGTAAGAATTATGACTCGTGTCTAGGAATTCACGAGGAGAGGGGTGAACTGCATGTACACACGGGGATTTGTGATTCTTTTTGAGAAAACGCTTCATTAGAGCGACATTACAAACAAGGTTTCAGTGAAACTGCACACCTGGCTCAGATTCAAAGGAGCGGCTCTGGACTTCTGTTTCTTCACATCTCAGATTAGCAGCTGTGGTTCTCACAAACACTCAAACTCTCAAGACTGTACAATTGTGTGAACTGGTCTTGGTGTTCTAGGTAATCCCCGTTGAAAAGACTCCAAAAATATCAATTTACACACTTTATATCCGGAATTGTTTCTCAGCTGCTATAGGCTTCCTTTATTTTCAACAGACTGGAGAGCAGCTATAACACAGTGTGAGAATGGCACTTTTGTTTGCAGCGGTGACTGTTCTTGTATTCACCACCTGGATCCCACATTTTACCCATGTTTGAATTTACCATCCAAAAACTGGCTGTAACTCCTCACAGCACAGAAGGCAAAGCAAAACAAGGACATGCACACATACGCACTGCAGTTATGCAATAAAGAAAGGAGTGTCCTGAAATACTGCTGCACTGGCAGTAATCCCACTTTCTTCATGTGAATAGGGACTTTAGATGGAGCAAAAAGCAGTAGTGGTCAAGTGTTTAATTCTAAATTAAATAAACTGGAGGTATGTTGAACTTAACTGTTTTTTAAGTTATATGTTTACTCTGAAATAAAAAGTCAAGAGGAGGGTGAGAGGTTTAATTTTCCTGCTAAAATAGAAGTTTTGACAGCCTTGAGTGGGTTTTTGCTTTTAAACACAGTAGCAGGCTACTACAGTGGTCAGAGGGAGGACCTATGCCACATTTAAGTACTCCTTTAAATACTCGTAAAATTGAGCTCCAAAACTGGTAGCGATGGTGCACTTCAGATAAAGAAAACATTGCATTATTTGCCTTAAAAGAAAATGTGAGTAAATGAGCAGAAAAGGCTCAGCTGCAATATTCAAAATGTGCTTAATCAGTGTGGCTCTTATCCAAATAATGTTTCAGGGGGTGTAGTAGCCTAACAGGCTTTTTTGAACAGTGCCTTTGTACAGATAGAATTGGCAGTCTTTTGGTATCTTTTTAAACATTTTGCATTTCTTTTACTTGTTTAATTTATTTTTGTAATTGTTTGATATGAGACAATGGGCCCCTGAGCACAAACATCTAAAAGGCCCCACCTCTCCTACACTTCTGTTAGCAAGACTGACAAATTTAGGAACCATGTTTTCTTGTAGCTGTTTTGCATGTTTTTGGCTATTTTGTGTTCATTTTTTTACTCATTTACACATCTCTGTGTCATTTTGCACCAATTTTTTAAACTTGTTTTGTGTCTTTTTAACACCTGTGTGTCGTTAGTGTCTATTTTTGTTATTTCCACAGTTTTGTAGTTGTTTTGCTGTCTTTAGGGTCTTTTCCATCTCTTTTAATTCATATTGTGTCTCCTTTTGGTGGTTCTGTATCTCTTTGGCTTTTTTTCTCTCGTTTGTGGCTTTTGTTGTCGTTTGATGTCATTTAATTGACTTGCCAATGAAAAGGTTAACACCTTTATCCTGGCTCTCTTGTCTAGGAGCCCCCTGACATCCTGGGGCCCCTGGGCCCAGTAGGTCCGATCAGTAATCCATTAATGCGTCCATGTGCGAACTATGTTCATAAGTCTTATGCTCTTATTTCCGACCGTATGTGAACGCAGCACCATCTCGGTGCATTCAGATGTCGTCAACTGTCCACAGATCTGGAAGAGGAGGGATCTAAATCTGAACTGCGTCTGACTGACGCTTCCTACCGAGGTTGATACTTCCATTTACTAAAAATGTACACAATTCAAGACAAGTCCCACGGGTTTAACTTTCTGTCACACTTTAGCGGCATCTCCCCCTTTTCAGACTCGAAGTAACGCAGTGGGGAGGGAGGTGTGTGTTTGGTTTCCCCTCCCGCTGCTGCTGCTGCTGAAGAAGAAGAAGAAGAAGAAGAAGAAGGAGCTCCTGTGGGATCGTTTTGGAGTAAACTCTATCCATGCTCGGCTCGGCTTGGCAAGCAAAAGATTCACGGGCATGCGAGTTTGTCCAGCTCGGTTCGGCTAAGGAGCAGCTAGGAGACGACAAATCACCTTCAGAGGAAGTAAAAGTCCTGAGGTGGATTTGAGGCGAAGTTATGAAAATGACCGGAGCCATGGAAACTTCTTTCAAACTGGCTTTGAAGAAACCACCTTCGCGGCGGACGGCAGAGGTAAACAATCTATCGCTTCTTTAATTAGCCTCGACTTGCTAATGTTAGCCCAAATCAAACTGTTGGAAAGCTCCACCTCAGCTGTCAGGAGTTTGACTGAAATGAGTCAACAATAAGTTGCTTGTGGACTAGTTGTTTTCTTAGGGCTCTTCTGTCCATTAACATGCTAATCAGGACACACAGGACACGGCTAAACTATCAGACAAAACACTAAAAAGTCTTCATCCGATCCAGTGCAACAGTTTGGCAGCTCTAACTTGATCTTTGTATGTGCAGTGCAGAAATAACACTCAAATGGAAAAATCCTCTTCAGGCTTCAGTGGCGCCCAAGCTGTGGTGCAGGGACTGTACTGGGTCCTTGAGAGGTTGGCACGGGTCTGCTCAGAATATCGTTTAGGAAGGTTTTGTGATAAGACCGAGCATTTTGCTGAGAATGCTTTTGTACACTTGTACTTTTGTATAAGTAGGAGCGGACAGGGTCTGGGGAGAAGCCTCTGTCGCTGCACTGCATTGTGGGTATGTGAATACAAACAAAACATAACCCCCCAGCTTCCCATCAGAGAGCTTTCAGCTAAGCCCAGGAGATAGTTTGTGTAAACTTAGCTTTGAATGAGACCAGTTAATTGCAGCGACGACTGCTTTCTCCTCCCTCCTCCCCACATGAAGCTGTGGAAACACAGCTGGCTTGTCATTGCTTGTGTTACGCGCTCGGCCCAAAAATAGCTCAGACCGTACTCCCTTCCATGTTCGGCTGCTGCTAATACTTTTTCAAGTGCAAGCACTGTCAGAGCACAGTGTCGCATGGCGCTTTCCAAAAGGCCTCCTTTTAATGGCTCTGATCCTCTGTTTGTTTGTGGGTGCCTGGTAGGTAGAAGGCCTCTTTCACACCTTCACAGGGAGCTTTTGTACAGGCTCCAACAAACCATAACAGCTGTGTTTAGTCCACAAATGTATGACACAGTCACAGCAGTGATTTGGTAATCGGCCACACCATAGCTAGCACTTTGATAAAGTAACTAAATTTAGGTGACACACAGCACTCACTATTTTAGATTCCAAACTTTCTAACGATGTATTGCAGCAATACATTGCTCAGTGATCTCATGCATCAAAATTAGTTATGGAAAGGTGAAGCATACACTTTGATGGAATTGTGCCGGATACAGCATGGTGCAGGAGAATGGGTTTTAATATCGATATTTTATTTCAAATTACAGAATTATAGGACGGCACAGCCAAGTGGTGGTTAGCGCTGTCACCTCACAGCAAGAGGGCTCCGGGTTTGAGCCTGGGCCGACCCGGGGCCTTTCTGTGTGGAGTCTGTATGTTCTCCCTGTGCCTGTGTGGGTTCTCTCCGGGTACTCCGGCTTCCTCCCACAGTCTAAAGACATGCAGCTTAGGTTGATGGGCAACTCTGAATTGCCCGTAGGAGTGAGTGTGACTGTGTGTGGTTGTTTGTCTACATATCAGCCCTGTGATAGACTGGTGACCACTGGATTGGCTTGAGTATCACCCAAATTTCTTGGAAGTGAAACTTGTGGATGTGCTGTAGGTTTGTCTGTCCTGTGCAGATGTTTGGCTCAGTGGGGACTCTGCCACTGCAGGTTTCACACCCTGTCAACCTTTCCCAGTGTCTTGGGGTTTTCCAGCTCGTCCCTCCCTGCCTACCTTTCTCAGTGCCATCCAGATGCTGTTTTGGTAACACAACAAACCCTGTTGGGTGATTTATAGTGGTTTTAGCAGCACCCTTTACAGATTGGACATTTATGGGCATTCCAGCCATAACAAAGCTGCTGGCTCCTTGGGGAAGGTGCAAGTGAGTGAGAGAAAGAACCACATTTAGTTTGTGGCTTATTACTCTCTATGAAGAGTGTAGGAGATGCAGACCAGTGTGTGGTCCATGCTTTATTCTTGGAGTGCATGCAAAGAAGCATGTGTGCATTTTAGCAGTTTGTTCAGCTCGACCGATTGAAATTAAAGGAGAACATCGTTGGTGTTTTATTCTTTTTTTTATTTTTATGTCCTAGTTGCGCGTCTCCTTGGTGCCACAGTTGCCACAGAGATGTCAGGGTTGACCTCTCCTAAGAGGCCTTTGCTCCCGTTATTCTTGCACAGTATGAAGAAAAGCTGCCGCACACTCGAACATTACCCAGGCAAGAGCTGATTTATCAATGTCAGTATGACACGCAATTTGGTTTTGTCAGGCTTTCATCACTTCACTGTGTCTGAGTGCAGGGAGTGCACTCGCATTATATTACAGGTAAATATTCATTCACTTCTGTATACAGGCTTCTTGAGGAAATACTCTGGAAGATTTTGTCACATCAGTTTGACATATAGCTGTATTCTTAATTTAACTTGGTAGTTTCCAGTACAAAAATTGCATGGTAAAAAGACAGTAGGTTACATTTCAAAATAATTTGGCAAATACCAAACCTCTCTAACCTCTGAACAGCTTTGTTCCTTTTTTGAAGAAAAGAGAAGTCAGACAATAAAATGCCTCTTTGAGGTTACATTGTGAAACTGAAGCTTCTTGGTTTGAGGTGTTTCACTGCCACTGACTGAAAAAAACCCACCTCCCATTGTCTGTTTGTGTGTATCTGGATACTGGATATGTGTGTTTATGAATTAAGGTGTGCACGCATAGCCTAGTGAAACCTCTCTCCTGGTTCCGCTCTTTCTCCCGTCACCATTATTTCACCTGTCTCCTGTGGGCTCGTCACTAGCACTGGAGTCTCATTCAGTCATACATGCAGCAGTAGGTCCTGCCTCCTTCAGATACAGGTGTAGATGAAACCACAGACACGATCTTTTGCTGTTGCCTTCAAAGACGCCAGTCAACCAGCTCAAGTAATCGTCTTCAGCAGCAGTGGTTAAAGACAACAAAATAGTGCAAAAGCAAAAAATGGTGTAACCCCAGTGAGATGGTTTGGTTTTGTAAAGTCCGGCGTGGAGCGACACCACGCTGTGTTCAGCTTATCCAAACTAAAAGTGGCAGAACGACAAACCTGTTGCAGTCTGTTTTTATGTAGCTCTTAAACCTGTTCCAGATGTTTCTCCGGTTACTACCCACCAGTGGTGCTTTGTTTTATTTTAAATTATTCTTATTTCTTAACAAATAGGCGCCTTTGCATAGTGACACACTTGCAAGTGATGCTTTATTGTTACTGTTGTACACCTGATGGCTTCAGACTCTGCTTTCTTGCAGTGTGAAGTATTTTCTTCAGCTGCTGCCTGTAGCCATAATCCTGTAGTGTTAGTTAATCCTGTGTGTAAGTACTTTCCATTCTGACAAGCGCTTTCTTATAATGTGAGCAAACATACGTGTTCACACACAACCAAGGTGAAAACCAGTTAGTCACCAGCGTCATCTTGACTGCGCCCGAAGGCTCATCTTCCAAATATGGTCCAAGCTGACTGTCCTTTTTTTAGAGAACACACATGAACACATTGATCAGCTTGAAGAATGAGTCACGGTGTATGTACACGTCATCAGAACAGTAGGTGCAGGAAAGGACAAAAACCAACAACACAAATTGAGTCATAAAAGAAGAGATATGAGACAAACTACGGATGTCCCCATCCAGTTTTTTGGCCCAGATACAAATCTGATTCCTTTGATATTATTTCCTGATACTGATTCAGATCTGATGCTTATATTGTCTACAGTAATTAGCCTACTATTACATATCTCACATTTTGAAATTGAAATAAATCTGGCAAACTGTATTTTTCAGGAGCTACTGGATCAGGTCCTTGAGGGGTGGTACACCTAGAGTGTGCACGTACAGGCTATCCCAATGCCACATCCCTGTTTTCTGCTGTTTGGAACCTTTCAGATGTTGCACTGTGTCAGCTGTTTGTGACCGAACGCAGGCAGTATCCCCAGACCTCCTCAGGAGGCTGAGTTTTCACAACTTTCAATAAATCCAGTGTGATGTACAGTATTGTTCAAAATAATAGCAGTACAATGTGACTAACCAGAATAATCCAGGTTTTTAGTATATTTTTTATTTCTACATGGCAAACAAGTTACCAGTAGTGGCAGTAGATTCTCAGAAAGCAAACAAGACCCACCATTTATGATATGCACGCTCTTAAGGCTGTGCAATTGGGCAATTAGTTGAAAGGGGTGTGTTAAAAAAAATAGCAGTGTCTTCCGTTGACTGTACAAACGTTTTTGTTTCTAGGATTTAGCAATCCTGTGAATCACTAAACTAATATTTAGTTGTATGACCACAGTTTTTTATAACTGCTTCACATCTGTGTGGCATGGAGTCAACCAACTTGTGGCACCTTTCAGCTGTTATTCCACTCCATGATTCTTTAACAACATTCCACAATTCATTTACATTTCTTGGTTTTGCTTCAGAAACAGCATTTTTGATATCACCCCACAAGTTCTCGATTGGATTAAGGTCCGGGGATTGGGCTGGCCACTCCATAACATTAATTTTGTTGGTTTGGAACCAACACTTTGCTCGTTTACTAGTGTGTTTGGGGTCATTGTCTTGTTGAAACAACCATTTCAAGGGCATGTCCTCTTCAGCATAAGGCAACATGACCTCATCAAGTATTTTGACATATGCAAACTGATCCATGATCCCTGGTATGCGATAAATAGGCCCAACACCATAGTAGGAGAAACATGCCCATATCATGATGCTTGCACCACCATGCTTCACTGTCTTCACTGTGTACTGTGGCTTGAATTCAGAGTTTGGGGGTCGTCTCACAAACTGTCTGTAGCCCTTGGACCCAAAAAGAACAATTTTACTCTCATCAGTCCACAAAATGTTCCTCCATTTCTCTTTAGGCCAGTTGACGTGTTCTTTGGCAAATTGTAACCTCTTCTGCACGTGCCTTTTTTTTAACAGAGGGACTTTGCGGGGGATTCTTGAAAATAGATTAGCTTCACACAGACGTCTTCTAACTGTCACAGTACTTACAGGTAACTCCAGACTGTCTTTGATCATCCTGGAGCTGATCATTGGCTGGGC